GCATTGAGACCTGCAGCAGTGACGCCACCCTCGCGGAGTCTTCTTCGATATCTGCACGCCCAATCCGAGGGGTTGTGCTATGCAGAATATTATAGCAGTGTCCGCCGCCTTTCTCCAAGAAAGACAGCTGTTGCTACTCCTCGTCGCAATGCCTGCACCAGCACCAGCAGTACCAGAAGTCGCGAGACGCAGCAGCCAGTAGTAGCGGAAAAGCGCATTGCGACCACCACACGACAGGCTGGGTTGATACCACCGCTTGATCTTCTTGTTCCAAAGTCTTGGAGGAGACAATCGAGGGGTTCGACGAGTGCGAGTGCGAGTGCGAAATCATCTACTTCTACGTCTACGAGTGGGAATACGGCGAGATATGCCTCTTCGAGTGGGAAGCAACTACCTGATAATAATGGACAAGAAGAAGAGGAGTGCAGCAAGAGGTCGTGGCAGGATTGGCTGTTTGGGACCGCTCCCAAAAAGCCGAGGCAGCCGTTGAAGGATGACGATTTGCCGGTGCAGCTGGAGGAGGAGTCGGGGTCGATATTTCAGCGGAGGGCGCTTACGTCCAAGGCGGCACTGGATCCGAGGTTGAGGTGCACGGAGGTGGATGGGAATGGGGATGTGATTATGGTGGATGGGGAGCTGAAGAAGAGTGAGCTTATTGCCAAGGTATGCAAAAGATCAGAATGGGGTTGAAGAGTTGAGTGGTGGGACTGTGGACTGACGTGGTGTGTTTGTGTGTGTGTGCTGTGTAGTATGGCCTTCTTCCTCGCGATCTTCGAAAGATTGACTCGTCCAACCTACCGCATATTCTCGTTCGACCGTCGGCTATTCTTCTCAACTTGTTGCATCTGAAGGTTCTGATCAAGCACGACCGGGTGCTGCTGTTTGATGTGTACGGATCCACGTCGTCATACCCGCAGTCGGCATTCATGTACGATTTGCAGGGGAAGCTCCAACAAAAGCAGGCAGCCGGGGCGAACAGTTTACCGTACGAGTTCAGGGCGCTCGAGGCTGTGCTGATGTCGGTTACTTCAGAGCTGGAGGCTGACTTTGAGTCGGTGCGGGACCCGGTTATTCGTGTGCTCAGCGAGCTCGAGGATGATATCGATCGGGAGAAACTGCGGATTCTGCTGGTATTGTCCAAGCGAGTTAGCACGTTTGAGCAGAAGGCGAAGCTTGTCAGGGACGCTATCGAGGAGTTGCTCGAGGCGGATGACGATCTTGCGGCTATGTACCTCACGGAGAAGACGCATGATCTTTTCCGTGGGGAGGATGATCACACCGAGGTTGAACTGTTGTTGGAGTCGTACAATAAGATCTGTGACGAAGTGGTTCAGGAGGCGAGCAACTTGGTGTCGAGTATCAGGAACACGGAAGAAATGTACGTGGCCAACAAGTCTTATTTGTTTTTGGCTGAACTATGCTGACCCAACACTTGTAGTATCCGTGCAATTCTTGATGCCAACCGCAACTCGCTCATGCTTCTCGACCTCAAGTTCAGTGTCGGTACTCTTGGACTTGCCATGGGCACCTTCCTGGCAGGTCTGTACGGCATGAACCTCGAGAACTTCATCGAGGAGACCAACTGGGGCTTCGGTGCCGTCACCAGTATGTCGACGATTGCCTCGTTGATTGTCTGCTGGTACGGGCTGGTGAAGCTGCGCAAGATCGGTCGGGTCAAGATGAATGTGAACGACCTGCGAAGAGGAGGCGGACAGAGCCATTGGTACCGCGAGGACAACACTAATATTCTATTGGATCCTAACAACCGCGAGCGGTTGAGGAGGATGAACATGCTGAAGAACGCAAAGCAGACCAAGTCCAAGAAGTGGCCATTCTGATGGGCCCCTGAATGGACGAGGATAAAGAACGATGTTGTGATTACTACTCACTTTTTGTGTTGGCATTGGCGTTTGAGGGCATACAAAAAGGGAAGCGGGCAATAGACTGGGGCGTTAGAGGCAGGAAAGGCACCACTTTATACCTTTTTATTAGCCATTTTCTTCGACATCTCAGCTCAACAGGGAGGGCAAGTATAGATTTTTGTATTATCATGACACTACCTGTACAGATATTAGATGAGTCGTAGTAGCTGGGGGGTAAGGGGGAAGTGTTGTATGATCAGGAACAGGAACAGGAACAAGACAATAACAAAATAAAATAAAGCAGATGTACCTGCCGTAACTCAGCGGCCTTGTATACACAAAACTGACTCGGGTCATTCGGCTTGTCCTTTTGGGTTGCACGTTGGCATTACCTAACATTCGTCCCCTTTCACCCGTAGCAGGAGGTACAAACTTGAGTCGATTGATTTTCCCCGCAGCCCACTCATGGGACACTTACCCCACTATCCCCAGAGCGAGGCTCTCCAAGGATCCCGAAAGTTGACGCATTCGCCGCCCCTTTGCCGCAGGCATCTTGATCTGATTTGGCTGTACTTCTCACACACTTGCATTGATTGTATACTCGGAGAGAAAAAGGCACAGCATTGAGATACACCCGACCGGCAGTACCGGGTCATAATTTTTTTCAGCTTCATTTTGAGGGTCATTTCACAAGCCGGATAAGGACAACGACTTTGGTCAATTGCTTCCGAGGCTCACACAAGTGAAGGTCAGTAGTCAGCGTCAGGCCACTTTTGTGAGACTTTCCACTCAGTCAACAGCATGGGCCTGGGGAACATCATATATATACCCTTTCAATGCCCCTCTCATTTGAAGTCTACCATAACTAACTCAGCAATAGATCATATTTTCACTCTTTACACTCATCAGCATCATTAGACAACAACAACAAAGATGTTGCCTCACACCCCCTCCGAAACTCCCCCTTCCAACCTTGCCGCGCTGGCAGAGGACCACTACTTCAGCGCCAACCCGCCGCCGAAGGACCTCCAGAAGCATGTTGCTCTGGCGAAGGACTTTATTGAGTTCCACTCGAAGGCGGGGAGGAAGTTGGTGTTGGTTACTTCGGGGGGTACTACGGTGCCTTTGGGTATGTTTTACTCCCAACTGAGAGATGAGGAGTGAGTAGGTGCTGAATGAGATGGTGAAAACAGAGAAACAGACGGTGCGGTTTATTGATAACTTTTCGGCTGGTACGAGAGGAGCTGTAAGTGATACACTCTTTGGGTGGCCCCTTTTGGTGGTTTTGTAACTTTTGAGCTGCCAAGGATGACGACATGCATCTCGTGGTGATAGTTCAGGGGGTGAAGTCTTTCTGGCTTCTGCGGGCATCGTCACAAAAGCGACAGTCAAGGGTCTGATTTCAAGAGGAGAGAATACTGACTTTGAAAACCAGACTAGCGCCGAGTACTTCCTAGAAGCAGGTTATGCTGTTCTCTTCCTGTGAGTCCACTATTGCCCTGCGTTCGACAGTTATACAAGACTAACACCATCTCTAGCCACCGGCAATTCTCCCTCCTCCCTTACTCCCGCCATTACAGCCATGCCACCGATTGCTTCCTTGACTTCCTCCGCGAAGGCCCCAACGGCAGCGTGGTAGCCCGCGATGAGGATGCCGGGAAAATGCTCAACGTCCTCCGGAAGTACCGCGAGGCCCGCGACAAGAACATGCTTCTTGTCCTTCCCTTTACCAGTATCTCGGATTACCTCCATGAGCTCCGCAGCATCGCGCAGTTGATGAAGCCCCTAGGACCTAAGGGGTTGCTGTATCTCGCCGCGGCAGTCAGCGATTTCTTCGTGCCTGTACGTTTCCCTTATCTCCCCCTTTTGATCCTGCGTGTGTGCTGACGAAACCCAAAGCCCGAGCGCATGTCCGAACACAAAATCCAATCCACCGACGCCGCCGACGCGTTCAACAAGAAATCATCCAAACCAGCATCAGACGAAGAAGAGATCTTTGACAACTTTGACTCCTCCCCCTCCGTCCCCCGGAGCAAGCGCCTCGTTGTTGATCTGGACCCCGTCCCCAAGTTCCTGAAGAACCTAGTAGAGGGGTGGTCACCAGAGGGGATGATCGTCTCCTTCAAGCTGGAAACTGACCCCAAAATTCTGGTGCACAAGGCAAAGTACTCGCTGGATCGGTATCAGCACCACTTGGTGATTGGGAATCTGCTGGCGACGAGGAAGTGGGAGGTGGTGTTTGTCAGTCCTGGGAGTCCAGACAAGTGGATTCGGATACCGCAGGGTGGGAAGCTGCAGGATAGTAAGGAGGCGGAGAAGGATGAGCCGTTGGATCCGAGGAGCTTGCCGGAGCAGGAGCCCGAGGCGGAGATTGAGAGCTTGATTATTCCGGCGGTGGCGGAGTTGCATAGTAAGTATGTAAACGGGATTGAGGAGAAGAGATTGGGGGCTTAAGGGGAGAGGGGAAGGGGGGATGAGGGTGGTTTCTTGTTTACATGTATAGACAGCAGAGCAGGGAAGCAGGCAGGCAGGCAGGCAGGCTTTGGGTATTATGCATGAGTTGCTATCGATAGGCATGGCGGCTTTTTGGCTTTGTCTACTTTTGCTTGAGAGTTGCAACAATATGAAAGCACTTCATTGTGATTTTATCCATATCTCGGTGTAGTCTTGCTTTGAGCCAACGTGCTGTATCAGAAACAGGATACGCCAACCAACATACACTGAATTGGTTGAAGGCGTACGATAAGAGTGGTTGACAGCTTTTTATATACATACTCTCAGGCAACGTCCCACCAAAGGTCATGAGGTAAGCTCTCTTAACTTGATGTGATGATCATGGAGACTGCTCCGCTTCCAAGATCACCTGGTCAGTCAGTCAGTCCTCATAGCTGATACAATCCCTCCCTACACCCACAGCACAATGCCTTCCGAGACCTGACAGAATTTTTTTGCCGCATCAGAAACAAGAGGTGGGGTAGCAACATCTTTATTCTTCGTGGCATTCTCACAGTGCAGTAGTAGTAGCAATGGTGGTGGTGGTTGCTCAACCTCCCTCACCAAAAGTCCTAGTTAAAGGCTTCAACTCTCTACCCACCACATCACAACAACAACAACAAGAACAAGCAACAGCAAAAAACAGGGCGTGTGGCTCAGTTGGTAGAGCGTTCGCTTAGCATACTCGACATCCTTGTATCTCACGATATCAGGGATCCCCATTGTATGCGAAAGGTCCTGGGTTCGATTCCCAGCTCGTCCATGATACCTTCTCCTTTTGCCCTACAATGCAAAGATAGGTCAATTCTTGTTTGTTTACTTTTATCAGACGGGTCTAGCTGTGTTGGAGGTTATGAGACTTGGTTTGGTAACGGATTTTTTACCTATGTGGGAAGGAGGCGGTTCCCAGTCTGAGGCTATCGACATCCAGACAGGAATCTAGCACCAAGAAAAAGAAAAAATAGCAGCGGTGGCTTCTGCGTAGAAGTGGAATGGGGTAACTGTCACGACCCTTTAATCGACAGTGGCATGAATCTAAGAGTAGGTTTGTTCACACTCTATCCGGTTGGAGTTCCCGAGCAGCGATTTCAGTCTGTGTATTTTGCGCTTCGTAAGAGGATGCCTGCGATAAGGTCAAAGTAGAGAGCGAGCAGCAAGGTTGAATTGGATATCTTGCTCTTCTGGTTACTCTGGGTTTGGTGACTCTATCGATCATTGACTCAAAAGACAAGTCCCTGTACGGAAGATTCCAACATCAACCCTTCCACTTCCTCTCCTCTTTAACAAACTCGTCCAACAAGGTAAAGCCCTGTTCAAGCTCGAATCCATTCTCCTTCTAACGGGAATGCTACCTAATTGATTAGTACGTAGGCAAGCCTCGAGCAAGACGCTTTGCCAGAGAATGAAAATGCTTTTGACAGTCTCATCCATGGGAACGAAGAAAAAAAAGACAATTGAACACCACCATTCGGCACCCGGAGTAAGTAAGTGAGTGATAATAAGAAAAGGGGTCTCTTCAGAGACAAGACATCCTCCAGCCCGGACTCCGCCGGCCGGCCATCTGCAGTTGTCTCTGAACTGCCACCCCCTATCTCAGACATGCACACCTGCACACCCCTATTCAACATGTCTCTCCTTTGTCTCTCGGTTCGGTAATGGTATACCGTCCCCTATCAAGAACAGCATATCTCTTCCCCTATCCTCCTCCCAACCACGGAGTATCTTTCCCAGACACAGATGACAAATTCTTGAATCAATCAATCACCGCACCCAGCCCCCTTTTGATCTCGAGCTTCATTGCAGAATCTCATAGCAAAGAGACATCAGACTGAATGCTCAAAGCATTAATTGACCTGAGACATACATCAACAACACCCCAAAAAAAGTCAAGCCTCTTCAGCCCCACGAAAACCAAACCCTACGATGATTGCCGCCACGCAATTACGGCCCAAACCATACACAAGCGTGCGAGCGGGCAAGAAGAAAACCACCCCCATCGTTTTCGGGATGTCGAGATCATCCCCCTCACGAAAGCGTCCGAATACCCCGTCTATGTGTCTAATTTCACAATACCGGTAGGTAAACGCCCGATGGTCACGGAGCTGACTTTCTAGTGTTGCAAGAAAGCAACTCTTCCCACGTTTCGGTGGCGCTCCGTGTGAGGGCACGCAACGTTGTTCAATATCAAGGCTCAAAAGAGGAGTAAAATCAGGGGGCGGCTGGACGGGTGGCTTTCCACCCGGCAATCCCATATGACGATGGTTGGCTATCAATTGCCCATCATCGTCTATCCCTCTTTTTCAGCTTCCCGAACGGGAAACGACATGATGAGCAAGACGCAAAAACACGTCAATATTGACCATGTTGACAGCGAATATCATGGCCAGAAAACAGACCTGACATGTTGGATATGGACTGTAGAAACATGGTCAGTATTAGCCGCCTGCTCCGGTAACGATCGTGGTGGTGCATTTCATCAATCATAACCAAGGCATCTTCTTGCAGTTTCTACGCAGCGTCGCCCTCTGGTTGGTCTCCCTATCCATGCCAGTAATGCAGATAAACAATAACAAGCCTTGCCTGGCACTTGCCCAACAAGCTAGCTGGGCCGTCCCGAACAACAGGCACTTGTGGATGGATCGTTGGTATCTAGCCGATTCGCTCGTGCCCGTTAATGCCGTCTTTGCCTCATGCATCTTGCGCAATTAGCCGATTACAGACGTTCTGTGGGTTTGTATGTATGTACATGGGATGTCGACGATAGGGGGCATGTTGGCGGCAAGAAGCGTCAATATGAACCTGCACTCGGCCGTGGTCCTTATGACTTTCGAAGAGTTGGTAAGACGCTCGGAAATGCAACGCGGAAAGTTCGTGTCAGAGACAGATTGCCAAGGGGGGTTCTCGCTGTGTGTACTCGGATGTCGTTGTGTCACAAACCTCTTACCATCAGCCCCTCCATTGGCCACTTCGATCTCCAACGCGAGCTGTGCAGCAGGTCGAGTCTGGTTGGGGGTCAAACTTGCCTGCCCGCCTGTCTTTCGGAATCGACAAAGTCCCCGGAAGGACATACTGTGTACCGAAGAGATAACCAGAAGTGCCGGCAAAAATGGTTCCCCCACTGCTTCAACTGCAGCCTGGTGCCCTGCGTGCCTTGATTATCAAACTGTACAGGAGATGACGGGTGGCCCAACTGCAAGAGAGTGATGCTACCATGGTGAATGGTGCAATGGGTTTCTATTATCGGATTCACGGTGAGGGGAAGCTGGACCCAAATTTCCATATTTCTTGGAAAATCTTCCAGGTTTCCTGGACGAACCCCCTGTATCCTGCAGGGTTCGAGTGCGTTCTAACCTGCCAGGGACGGGCTGACGGGGGACAGGAAGGCAACATTGGGATGGCAGTTTGAAGAGTTTTGCTCTGGCAATGGTTTCCGCCGTGGCGTTTACAATATCGTCTGAGGAATTGTCTCTGTGCATGCCAATCCTCATCTTTTAAAGGTGATGACCCGCCAAGATGAGGCTCTCTTTGGCGTTATGGCTGTGCGCACTGGCCTCATCAAGCGCTCGGCATCGATGGGCTTGTCCGTGGAAGGTTGCTTCCGGAGATTTTACGCCGCAACGGTCAAACCCCCAGGCTGTTGCGACGCGGGCGACGACGTGGGAGGATGGCGTTTCGCAGATGGGAATCTATCAATCAACCAGCATTTGAGAGATAGCGGGATAGTAATAGGGCATCGCTATTGGTACGGAGTGTTTGCAGCGGAATTAGCACCTGCCGGAGTGCTGCCATCTTCAACTGAACAACCTGTCAAGGTAGGATCCGTACCTGACCTGGCAACCCTCGAATACAGATCGAGATGCTTATGGGTCTTTATGGGTCTTTGTGATGGTTGTTCACGATGCGAGAAGGGCTGCATTGCAGTACCGAACTCCCGAGTTGCTCGCATACAGTCTGCTCTGTCGGAAACCCGTTTCGGACTTTGAGGAGATCCTCTTTGGGATGTCTGTGAGCATCACATCAATTTTGGTTGAAGAAGCAAATTGAAGAAGTGTGTCTGGTCGCGTCTCGGAGTGCGGTTCGCGTCATTGGCTGGCCTCTCTCGAATTCGTCAATTGACCCCGCTTGATCGAGGCTGGGAAAGTTGGAAAAAGCTCCATCCAGCTGCGTCATTCATCTGAAATCACACAGACAGGGGCCCACCAGTGCGTGGCGCCAAGCCTCAAGCCCGTCCAAGTGCGACTGCCCAGCATCAGCTCAGCAGAGGAGGCGCTAAGACCGAGAATGTTTCAATAAGCAGTCTTTGATCAAGACTTTGGCATTGAGCAATGTCGAAGACTCAAGTCAATACTGAAGGAAAGCTGCAGTATTGATATGCTCCTCAAAGATAGCTCTCTTGAAATCACCAACCAACTCCAGTTCTATTGTTTGAAGCTGACCACGGACAGTGTCTGTGAATGAATTCCGTACCTTATCCAGATTGAACACAAGTACGGATACGATAACTATCCCAAACATGCATGCAGCAGATGCAGAGCTCCCAAGCCAGCAAGCACCATTGCATCGCTTCGTGTCATAAGGTCGTTCGACAATCGACATAATCCACAAGCGGTGTGCCGTCCTCAGAGTCAACAAACACTTGTCTTTGCACCCGTTGGTTTGAGCCCCTCTGAGGATGAACTGCCTGTCTCCATCTGCGTAGGACGAGTGTCTAGATATTAAAAAGATAAAGCTTCAGTGTCAGCCTAACCTCCAGAGGCACTAGATGCGCGCTGCAACTCTGTTCCAAGGCGAGGCGCCATTGCCAGTGACGGAAAGACTCTCGTGGCATTGGACTATCGAAAGGCAAAAGAGATTGTGTTGATATAAAGGCCAGGATAATTCCATGGAAGAAAGATTCTTGCAAGATTTTCTTGGAAATGGTCCAGATTTGAGGTTGCTTTCAGTCCCGATGGGGGAACAATTGATTGAACCGGACCGTCAGCGGACACCGAAGAGAGCCATCAGGAACTCTCGACTGGAGCTTCTTCATTGGCCTGAAAAAGTGACAGAAAGAGTCGTGGTCAGAAACCAAATCCGGTCTTTGGGAAACACCCATCCACTCTGGCCTTGGCAGGTGGCCTCTCCCGCCACACTAACTGTCACCTTATCCAACGTCCAGCATGTGGAGTTTTCAACCGCTGTTTCCGGGACATGCACTAGATTTCTGTTGCAATGAGGATTTCGGCGGCGAGCAATGCCAAACTGTCATCTCACAAACCGTCTTCTCGTCCCATCCATTCTCGGCCGCCCCAGAGCGTCAGGTCGAGAGAAAATCTAAATGCCCCTGACCCTCTCACGTCACTGGAATCATGTTGACATTCAACACGGGCTAGCTTCCGCTCACGGATCCGTCCGCTCAAAGCCACACACCAAAGACCGCGTCACCGATCGAGCACAGGCCCAATAGGCCCCTGTTCCCTGTTGATGCTGGCTCACATCCCTAGGTTCTGATCCACCTGAAAATTGTCCAGGGTCGACAGCGAAAACGTCTTGTCGGTCGCATCGGCTTGCGGAACAAGCGATCAGTTATCCACAGGTGGGGGTCCCGCCCCTGGCGAGCCTTTTTATTTTCACAGGCCTGGCGATTCTTCGAGAACATCGATTGTCAGCAGTGTTGGGAAGAAAACAACGGACGGGTTCAGGTTGTCTCCGATATCCGACGCTCCTCGGTCGGTGGATGGCGTTTCAGGGCACGAGAAAACGCCAGGCTATTGAGAGATAGAT